ATGAACCACCAAAAAAAAGAAAACAAAAAGAAAAACCCAGAAGTGGTACTGTGGCTCAAGTGGTAGAGCACTCACCTTGAGCTGAAGAGCGGAGGGACAGCACCCAGGCCCCGAGTTCAAGCCCCACAGTCAAAAAAAATACAATACACTTAGTATTTGTGATATTGTGAAATACATATTTGCTGTTTGTCCTCATTTCTTGGCACACAAGAATCTCCAAAGTTCTAAGTATCTTTCTGCATATAAAAAAGTTGACCTGATGATTGTCTGTCACCACAGCTACAGGATTGAGGGCAGTTCAAGGAAAGACCAAGGCAAGATTTCGGTGCTAGGACTTTTAGCCTTCCTTCCAATATCCAGGGAGAGGAGAGAAGCTGAAGCTTGAGCTAATTAAATACAGACAATAATTTCATCACTTATGTCCACATAATAAAGTTTCCATTAAAAACTAAAAGAACTTGTGGATGCTGTGCCTGGAGCAGGTGCAGAAGCTCTACATCTTTTCTCCCTCTACCTCATCGCTTACATCTCTTACCTGTACCTCTGGAGTATCCTGTATAATCCACAGGAACACAATTGATTACTACTGTGGGTTATGCAGGATATTTGCAAGACAGTGTTTGTGCACCAATAAACCAAGTGTTTCTGTGGCCCCTCCTATCAAATTCACGCAACTCCAAGGAAGAGGTGCTTGAAATCTTTGTTGCTAGTGGTCCTCAGGGTCTCTTATTCTGGCAAGCCAAAGCAAGACTGCAGGCAAGGTGGGGATAGAGGTCATGTTTATTTAAAGCTCTCTGTCCACGGAGTTATCAGTAGCAATAGCAGGCCGTCCACAGGCTCGTCTTCTGTCCATCAACACACCTCTCACCCATTGTCCACTCAACCCAGGGTGCCTGTTTTATACTCCAGCCAGACAAAACTTAAGCATTTGGCCGAGGATGAGACCAGGCATGCGCACTCGGTCTCAAGGCTACATGCACAGCGCATGTGTACTGGACTCTGGCTTACATGGATATTCTGAACCAGCTGAATCCCAATCCTTGGGACGTGTACACCCAAAGCCATCCTGGCGTTAGAGGTGGGAAAGCCCGAGTAACTCGTTTACCCAATCATCTGGTCAGTCAGAGGCTTGTGACTGGAGTGGGAAAGAGTACAAAGTGAGAGCCATGGAATCTACACGATCTCCAAGTAGACAATGTCAGATGGACTTGAATTGGAAGACGCCCCCCTCCACCCACCCCCTCCTCCACCCCACAGGTCCTCAGCCTGAGCTCTTTGTATCACTGCCCCTACACGTAAGACTTCTGTGTTGTGAGAGACAATAGGGGAAAGTGAGTTTGCATTTCCCATATCCATTCCACACTGGTATTCTTAAGGTAATACATGTCCTGATGACCTCAGTTTTTCCTTCTGAACCCAGGGTGGCTAGACTGTGATGAACTTGTGCTTGGTTTCCAATAGAAACTAACACGAGACCCCCACCTCCCCACCCACCCACGTTGGACTCACTAGCAAGAGCCCTTGGGAAATTTAGAAGCAGCCACACCCACCCTGCAAAGCCCTTGGGGATCACTTCAGGCTGGTGCTGGAGCAGGAAGAAGAGGAGGAGGCAAGGCAGGGTCAGGTTCAAGGCAGATTCAGAGCCTGCATCTGCCACTGCCAATGGATGCTCTGGTGTGCATTCACTGCCACTTAACTTTTAGCCCTGTCAACCACAGGACTGTTCTTCCACTGCCATAGCAGACCTCCTGTGAGGTCTACCAGCTGAAAGGAACACACACACACATGTGAGCGCAGTAACCTGCCATGGGTGGCAGGGGTGGCTCTAGGAACAACTCAAGCTTCTAGTGCATCATAGCACAGTTCCTCCTGTCTGATTTTTCTCCCTGTGTAGCTCTAGAGACCATTCTGTGGCTCTAGTCCACTCTCAGTAAATGATGCCCAGACATAGTTGGGCATTACTGTCATGTTAGAAGGGACAGAGTCAGTGGTTAGAGAGATTTCCCAAAGAGCCTCTGACCTAGAGGAAAAGACTTCACCCATTTGGACAAAACTGAGCTTCTAAAAGTTCAGATGTCGTGCTGACTTCACATCCCCCAAAAGGTAGGCTAACAGAAGAATAATAAATGGGAATCCTCGCAGTCTCATACTGCTCTGATCAACAAGCAAATACTTCTGGGGGCATCTATCATGGGTCAGTTCTGTACCCTCTGCTGTGGGGACAAAAAGTAAGAGGCAGAATTGTTCTCAGTCAGTTGGTCTCAAACCTCTCTGCAAACCTCTAAGCTCCCTCTAACCTCTAACCTCCAAAAGAGTTACCAGAGGTGCATTTCCTGAATTCCCTCATCCCCATAAATTCTGATTCTATAAGCCCAGGGTTCCTGAGTATGCGATTTTAATAGCCACATCCGGGTGAATGGGATGCAGGAGATCCTGAAACTAGACCACCTTTGGGAGACACTGGCCTGTGACCTGTTCCTGTTTTGAAGTAGTTTGCCACCTGAATGGGGTGTTGGTAAATACCCACAAAGCAACAAATGATACATAGCAATCCATTCTGTGATGATGCAGCTTCTAAGCATCCTAGACATTCGTTAAGAGGAACCTTAATGAAGCCCTGAGCACTTGGCAGGCATTTTGAATGAGTGCCTGGCTTGATGTTAGGCAGGACTTAGACATAAGCAGCCCTAAGCAATCCTGTTAATCAAACCCCCTGATTCACAGTGACAAGGTGTCCACAAGCACACAGCACAAATGTGGATGAAGGCATGGGCTAGAAGACCACCAAACAGGTAAAGAGGCCTCTGAGGTTGCTTACAGGATGTGCTCATCAGGAGAACTATAAAACATCATGTTTGCATTTTCACTCTGCTACATTCATGTGGTTTCCTGAACTTCACAATCTAACATTTGTAAGGGCTGGGGTGGGGTGGGGAGTGGGGAGAAATTGCTGTTAAGAAACCCAAATAATGCAGCATTCTGAGGCAGCCAGCCAGCTGCTAACAAGAATAACATCTGAGCATCAATTAGAGCATCGTTCACAGTTCTGCTTCAGAAAGGAGATATTCGGTGAGAAAGAAAAGTAATAAATCCTGTTCAATGTAAAACAAAGTTTGGGACTCCCCAGGTACAAAGGCAGGCAGCTCTCAGTCATCCGATGACAGTAAATACAAGAGGAGAAAGTTCTGTCCTCTACAGAGAAAAGAAAGGACACTAAAAGAAGCCTTGCTTGTTTATTTAATGGGAATATTTATAAAAGATGGTGACGTATTTTCTCAATGTTGCAAGGCCATAAATTATTAACCATGGATTCCAAAACCAAATGCTTGCTTCACTAAAAGGCTGTCTGGATGGCTCACAAGGGGAGAGCAGGAAGTGTCCCAAGGTACTCCCTTTCCTCCACCCATACACAGAAAATTCCACTGGGCAAAAATTAAAGGGTCTGATTATTTAATTAATTTCACTACAGGGCACTACATTGTAAATTTGCAAAAGCCCTTGGAGATCACTCAGACACAGGTTCAATTTTTTTTTAAACAGGTGACCCAGAGAGACAAAAGACATACGTTTTCTCTCATGTGTGGAAGTTAGATCTAATTTATAAGTATATATGTACACACACAGGATCCTATGTACAAGTATCCAGTTGTGTTCACTAAAGTATTATATTTTCAGGGGAGAATTAAAATGGTACAACTCTTGTCACAATTTATAGCCTAACAAAATGAATACCAGGAAGTTGGTAATTGAGATGTGTGGGGAGGGGAGAGATCAAAGGGTGGTTGGGCAAATGAATGAAGAGAGGAAGAGGAGAAGAATGAAATCATAATATGCAATGTATATCCTAGGAGAACAGAGTGGATTGGTGGGGTTGGGAGGAATGGGAGAGGACGATACAAGGGGTCATATCAATCAAGATGTATTATATTCATAAACTGGCATGTTGAATTATAACCCCTTTGTACAACTAAAGATAATAAAAATTCAGTTCAAAAAATGATTTTACAGGTGAGACATTCCAAGAAGATATGTCTCTGAGGTCACCATTAGAAGATTTAAGTTTCCAAAAATACCATGAGTGAATGTTCTGAAGCCAATATTCTTTGATGTACTTTGGAATTCTTTTTTGTTTTGTCTTTTCTTTTTGTTGGTACTGGGGATCGAACCCAGGATGTTGTACTTGCTAGGCAAGCGCTTTGCCACTGAGCTACATTCCAGCCCACTTTGGAATTCTTTAATCATTCTTTTATAGTTGTAAATGCTTGAATTGCAACTCCCAGATTAAGATTCTCATTCAGACTAAGCGTCTCATTCAGAGGATCGTGTTCAGTTACAAGTACCTCAAGAAATATAGCAGGAGTAAGTTTTAGAGTACATAGATGAAAATAATTGATCATAAACCTTATAGACAATTAAAAGGAATAAGCATTCCAACACAAAGAAATAAATGTTGAGGAAGATGAAATACTAATTATCCCAAGTGGAACATCACATACTGTATTCAAGGTAGGAAATCATCACACTGTACCCTATTAAAAATTACTCGGTGAGCATTTGTTGAACAGGACCTGATAACTCTTAATGATTATTATCTTGTCACCCCAATACTTCATTACAGGGTAGCAAATAATTGTCCAACGAATCTACTTTCTCTTGTGTGACCAGTTAAAACCTTATCCTTTCAGATAAAATAGAATGTATGGAAGATTTTATAGATTTGTTGTTTGTAAGCAATTCTGTATATGTGTTTGTGTGTATATTTTTTCTAACCACAAATGTGTTCTCCTTAGATCATACTATTCCACGGTTTTCAGAAATGAGCCCACCGCGTGAATTTGCTTGCCATTTGGCTTATGGTCATTAAAATAACATTTTCTCAAATGTTTCATTACTTGGGCTGTAGAGAAATATCTTATTCAATAAGATGTCTGGGAATACTAAATAAACTCTGCAAGATGAAATTGAAAACTAACAGATACCAAGTTCTCCTGATGACTTACCAGAAGTCAATCAGGATTCCAGGTGATTTGTGCAGGCTGAAGTCCCCTTTGTCTTGTTCATGGTCCAGAGCAGCACAACTTTTGAGTCTTCAAAACAGTTTCTTTCATTAGGCTCCAGTTTGCTGCATTCAAACAACACAAAACACCAAGTCAGAAGGAAAATGCCACTTCAAGCAGTTACTGGGGATTCAGGGGAAATCCCTGGCCTTTCTCAAATGGCTATCTGATAACCTCAAATAAGCATCTTAATTACCAAAACGAAGCTACAGCACATCTTATGTACACAAGAGTACCCTAAAATACCAGAGGTGAGGGTGCACAGGGAAAGAAAGGAAACCAAGTAGGATTTTGGGGTGGGTACACAAGTGGAAGACGTGCTTGCCAAACTTGAAGTTTATCAACTGAATGAAGGAAATACAGGTTTCATTATTTTTACATGATTGAAGATTCTGTTTCTTCAGGGCATTCAGAAAGTAGAGAAAGTTTTGTTTCGAGAAAAAAAAATCACCCAATTCTGCACAATAAAACCTCAGATTCACTGAACAACTAGTAATTTTTTTTTCAATAGCAGGCTATTGGGATTGAATCAAAAAAAGTAGAGGAAAGTCCTATTTTGTACTAAAAACAGGCCGTTAGTGGGCTTCCCTAGTCTGCCTCTTGATAAATTTGATAAATACCTTTGCTTCCCAAGATGGAAAACAGAAAATGAATCGTTAAGATATGCATGCCTCTTTACCCCCACTCAGAACAGCCCAGAAAGCCTACACACCAGAGCAGAGCTGTGTGTGGCAAGGTCACTCTGGAAAGTTCTTTTATGTCTTAGCATCTTTTAAACCTCACTTGTACAGAATGGGGTTCAAGTTTATTCTGATGCTTGCTCAACTTTACCAAGGGTTTGGGTTGGCTTTTTGTTTTTTCTGGTTTTTTTTTTTTTGATAATGGCTATTTGAGATACTGAAAAAAGTCCTCAAAAGATGACTCTATCTTTATATATACACATATTTATATAAATGTATATTTTATATAAATATAATATATATATATATGTAATGAGCTCTTACCATCTATTTTTGAAAACTCATTACAAGATTAGCACCTGGTTCTAAGTATCCTGGGGGGAATCACCATAAATCTCATCATGTGACTTACTTGTAAGTGAGAAGCTATGCTGGTACCTTCTCGAGGTTGCTGTATGGCTAACTCTTAGTCTGAAGTTGTTACTTTCTGAAATAAGTCAGCCTTTGGTCGGGGCAATAATGGGGTTTAAATTTAGGTCCTAGAGCTTGTTAAGCAAGTACTTTACCACTTGAGCCATATCCCTAGTCCGATCCTGCTTGATAGTTATTTTTAGCTAGAGGCTCATTTTTTTTCAATTGTTATTATTTTTAGTTTTACAGAGGAGTTTCAACTCAACATCTGTGAGTGCAACGTCTCTCCTTTCCTCATTCTCTCCCATCTCTCCCAACCCCACCCATCCCTTCAGTTGATCTAGTTCCATTTTTCACGTACATTAATATTATGACTGTGTTGGCACATCCTTCCCCTCTCCATTTGCCTGCACCACCCCCCTCTTGATCTCAACCTCCAACCCCCAACACAAGTTCTAGCTTCTCAGTATTCATTTTGTTAAACTGTAAATTAGCTGCTGAAAGAAGTTACACGTCGAAATCACATTTCAGTTCATATATTCATGGATATAATGCAGATGACCCTGTATATGTTTCATATATTTATGTACTTTCATATATATATGTAATTTTGAACAGATTCACACATGTAAGAGAAAGCTTGTGTCTCTTTTGACGCATAGTATTGCCCTGAATCAGCCTGAACTGTCATCGTCTTTCTGCTACCACCCATAAAGCTGGGATGACAGGCATGCATCACCATGCCTGGCCCAGTGGTCAGCTTTTCTGAAAGAGCTTTTGGAGAGTTGTGTGTATCTGGAGTTAAATCGTGTAGACACTTAAAACTTTTGAGAAGCCACTGTCACCCGGTTAATGTTTAAAAATGAGTTGAGTTCCGTGTCCTGAAATGTTCAGTCTAGCTGGAAGAGAAACTGCCTGAAAATGGCAAAGTCTCTATTTCCTCAATAGTATCAAAATTCACAGAAAACAGGGTTTTAAGGATTTTTTTATTAAGTTTTCAGATCAGTTTTCATGAAATGTAACCCAGCTCTCACTCAAGTGTCTAACAGTAACATATTGATACAAATCAACAGAAGCCAGGAAGTTCAAAGTATGACAAACTGTCTTTAGCTCACTGGTTTAGTAAAAACAGAATTTGGAGAGGGAAAGATGTTAGCAGGCTCACTCAAAGTTATATTGGCTGGCATCAATTTTTTTTTCTTTTGAGCTAAATTTTTCTTATGTTAACCAATTTCATATCTTGGTATTTTAAAGTTGGAAGGGAAGTTTCCAGATAGCTCAACTCAAAGGAGTCGAGAGTTACATATCTCTTATAGTACACAGCAACTTAACATGTACTTTGACTATAGGCTAGATTAAATCACTCAAGCTCACTAACGTATTTGTGTGTGTGTGTGCACATGTGCACACATGAGCACACACGCATGCATACACACACGTGCACACACACGCATGCACGCATGCACGCGTGCGTGCATGCCAATACTGGGCCTTGACCTTAGGGCCTTGCACTCTTGCTTGGCTTTTCCCGCTGAAGGCTAGTGACACAGCTCCACTTCCAGATTTTTGAAGGTTAATTGGAGATAATAGTCTCAAGCCTTTCCTGCCTGGTTTGGCTTTGAACCACAATTCTCAGGTCTCAACCTCCTGAGTAGCTAGGATTAGATGTAAGCCACCAGCATATATCATCTCACTAACTTTTAAAACTCTGTGTGTGTGTATGTATGTGTGTATACAGAGACAGAGACAGAGAGAGACAGAGGCAGAGACAGAGACAAAGAGAGAGAGAGACAGAGAGACAGAGGCAGAGACAAAGAGAGAGAGAGACAGATAGACAGAGAGAGACAGACAGAGAGGGGTCAGCCTTCCACATGCTGGGATCACAGACCTGCTCTTATTTAATGTAATAATTGAATGTTTTGAATAAAAGAAGCTCACCAGAGCCTAATCCTTCTTTCTAGTGCTCTTTTTTTCTGTGTATTTTTTGCCCTAAAGAAGCAAATTCATTTCTGAATTAAATTCTTACCACCTGTCTTGGACAAAATCTATGTTACAGGGGCAGCAAGTCTCCACTGATACCTGAAGACCTTTGCTGGCAGTCAGAGCCCCAGGTGTCTGGAGTAGCATGACTGAGACTGCGTGGGGTGGGGGTGGGGAGAGCAGGCTGTAGGCACAGGCTATGACTCATCCTAGTGACAACAATTTCCATTCTTATCTCCATAGAAGTGGAGCTGGAAATGAGTCATTTTGTGAATTATAGCTGACCCTCAATTACACACACTTGCAAGAGGTATCAAACAAAAACCACTGAAAATTGTACATGCCTTTTAAGCAATCATGCCAATGTGTACAGGGATGGAGGTGTGGTTCACAGGTAAAGTCAAGCTCAAGACCCTGACTTCAATCCCCTGGACTTCATACCTTCTACCCTAAGGGGAAAATATTTTATTTCTGATGTGCTGGGGATCAAAGCCAGAGCCTCATGCATGCTACTTAAGTGCTTTGTCACAGAGCTACATCCCCAGCTCCAAGAAAAAAATATCTAAATATGCTTTCCTTTTCAGTAAATTCTTCCCACTGCTGCTAATGAGCAGCCAAACACACTGGCTTGTGTTTAATCTAATTGCCTACCTATTCTTGTGTTCTAATGGATGTTATCAACTTCAGACAGAGTCAGAAGACCAGAAAAAAAAGAAAGAAAAAAGAAATGGAAGACCGGACATTTACATAATCACAACAATAATACTGGAACAAAAGTTATTAAAGATTTATGAATCATATTTCTGGAATGTTTCCAGGTAATATTTTTGGACTTCTGTTGACAATGGGTAACTAGAACTACAGAATCATGGGTAAGGGCAGGTAGGCAGGAGGGTGCTATACTCAGTGCTGAAAAAAATGAACAAGACACTGAATCAGACGCTTACTGTGATTTGTTTAGATTTTTCAAAATAATGAGGGACCATCCATTTTTCAGTGGTCAATAGGAAACCACTAAGGATTCAGAAAATATTTAAATATTTCACAATGAACTGGTCAAACCAAAACCATTTTTAAAAACAAGCTGAATTATGTATAAGGCAATGAGTATTGTCCCTTTTATTGTAACAAATTAAGAGGTTTCTATTGTTTGCTTGACTCCGACATGTGGCATACAGAAAGTGAAAGGAATTATCTTTACTTTTGCCTGGATCAATACAAACTCACGATAGCATGTGACAGAAAAGAACTACTACTGGTTGGTGTGGACGCCATTGTTTCTGATGCAATGTCCATCACAAAGCCAGTTTTGATCCAGAATTGGATCGAAGCAGAGATCCCTGAATCTAGACAGAGATCCCTAGGCTCTGCACCTTTAGGTTCAACCCACTGAGGATTAAAAATACTCGGGGAAAAATATTTTGCTTAGATTCCACTCAGCTAGAATCTTTTGCTTGTCACTATACTCTAAAAATTACAGCTTCAGAATTTATATGACGTTTTGTTCTATCAGATATGATTGAAAGCAGGGGTGGATGTGCATGGGTTATTTGCAAATATTATACCATTTTATGGAAAGAACTTGAGCATCTGGGATTTGGGTATGGGCAGGGGTCCTGGAATCCATCCTCCACAGATACTCAGGAACAAATGTGCTTATTTTAATGTTTTAAGTGTTAGGACTGCGCTTGCATTTAGTGAGAACTGGAATACTAGAAAAACAACTCATGAAAAGAAAAATGAAGAAACCCATTGCCATTTATAAATCTTTCTGCTACCCAAAGCAGAAAGTAAGTGATGTGTCCCCAAAGGTATTTTTTTTAGCATTTAAAAATACCAAACAGTAGTAATGGCCCAACGTCGACACTGCTACCATTTAACCTGCAATTTGGACAATTTGTATAAGGATGAAATTACTTTGTCTTATGACATAAGGAACAGATGCTACTCATTAACACACAGAAATGCCTAAAACAGAGTTTTCAAAACGGATG